AAAAAAAACAGCAACATGTCAGCGACTAAGAAAATATGTAAAATGGTATCGAATTTTCAGAATTTTTTGAAATAATTTGTATTCAGATAGAATTTAAATAGAAGTTGAGATTAAGGTCAAAAATTAATATATTGAACGTTAAAGTGATATGGAATGACATGGCACATCCAGCTAGGTAAGCTGATCGGTATGTATACTGAAGGTCTAGAGATCGATACTCTATGTGTTCATATATTTTCTGTTCTATTTAGAAAATCCTGCAAAGATCCTGCCAAGAAACTGATGACATCCTGAAGCAAACTTGATTCAATCCTACAAAGATCGTGTCAGGAAATTTGATAACATCTTGAATAAAACCAAGTGAAAGCCTGAAGGATGTGATCAGGAATCTTTTTTTTTCCAATTTTGAATTATTGAAATCCTGAGAGGATCCTACAATTCCGTGGCTACACGCTCCTTTCAGGATTCAATAGTTTCCTGGCAAAATCCTTATTTTCAAACAATGGTAATCTTGTTGATATCCTTGTTTTTTCCGATTTGAATCCTGATCGGATCCGGCTAAACCGTGGCTACACGCTTCTTTCAGGACTCAATGGTTTCCTGACACGATCCTTACTTTCAAGCAATGATAATCTTGTTGATATCCTTGTTTTTCCTGATTTGAATCCCGACAGGATCCTGCTAAATCGTGGCTACACGCTTCTTTCGGGATTTCGAGATTTCTTAGACGGAGCCTGATGTTCTAATAATAATAAACAGTTAAGAATCCTAATTGCTTCTTGATTCAAATCCTGTAAGGATCCTAATAAACCGTGGCTTCACGCATCTTTCAGGATTCAGTCGTTTCCTCAGGAAAAAATGTCAAATCCTTCCAAGATCGTTATCTGATTTGCCGAAGATCTGCTACCGAAGTATCAAAGATTTTCCCTAGGGTTGTTACGAACTCTTGCCAAGGTTGATGAAAAACAAAGTTTATAAAAAGGTAGATTACGCTCATAATCATAAAAGGAGTTTATCTAATGGTAATAAATAAATAATGCGAATTTATTATTCTCTGCTCATTTTTTACAGTGTAGTCAATATTAATTCAATACCAAGGGAACAATACAGAGATTTTTTCACAACCAGGGACATTTTTTTAATGATGTTTCATGATTTATCTTCTTTCTTCATGTTAGTTTTATGACTTTTCTTGTTTCTTTTTTGTTTTCTTCTTCATAGTTAAGAAATTTGTTTTAAACATTAAAGACATCATGCCTTTAAACTAACATCATGGCTTACATATACTGATTTTATTTTTAACAAGTTTTTTGGGAGATATCAATTAAGGGTTTGCAGGGTAACCCTGTCCTATCCTACCCTGCAGGGTAAGACCAGGATACAGCTGCGACAGTGTAGGGTTGAATCAAGATAAGGTTGTAGTAGAGCATGATGGTGTATAGTCAAAGCAAGCGAATCGTTATTTTCTTAGCACATGCATATGATATTGTGAGTTTTCGATTATCGTCAAAGGACTAATGATAGGTGAGTATTTTTGAGTGCTGTCTTTTTGGTGCTAATATCCAAGTGGACGGATGAAAAAATGAATATTTACACAGGAATATAATAATGGGCAGCGGATAAAAAATATGAGCTGATTTGTTATAATCTACTTTTTGTTATATCATTTGAATTAAAATTGTTTAGAATTTATTTCTTATCATTTTTAGAATCTTTCAACTAGAATAAGTTTAAGAGAGACAGATATAAACTTCTTAGAGTGTGGTAAGAGTAGAGAACTGTAGAGACTTTGCAGAGTAAGATATTGTAAGGGTAACAATCTATAGGAGTCTTGCAGGGTAGGGTGAGGGTAAGAAAATTCTTTTTCGTCAAGGTACAGGGTATGAAAAAAGTTCACCTGCACACCTCTAATATGAACCGACTATTCTTTTTCAAGAAAGCAAAAAGTAGCTTCTTGTCATATGAAGCCACAGCTGCCGTATAAAATCGTACTACTCTGAAGTTTTTATATTTGATAAAATACAATTTCAATAGATTAATTATATATACAAGAACACAGCAACATAATCCTTTGCATAATTTAAGAGCTTTAAAGAAAACTGGATATAATATCCTTTTAATCAATTTTTATTATAGTCGTTAAAGAAATATAAATCTTTAAGAGTAGGTAGGAATGTAAAAATGCAATGCATTTATACTACGCAAAAACTCGGAAAGAATAAATCCAACCAAAATCACACAAAATTGTTTTTTCTTAGAGTTTACTTCCTCATACAACGTTTTCTAATTAGGGATACACCAGTCCCAGTCCGACTGGATTGGTGCATGCCTATTTCTGATGTCCAGAATCATAAATAAATGATAAAGAAATTGAGAGATTGAAATGAATCTGTTATTGATAACACTTATCTTACTAGATCCCTCGAGCTTCGAGTCATTTTAGAATCAACATAAATTCAAAACCCAAATTTTAGAAACCAAGTCCGAACCTGAACCCAACTGTATACCAAATTCAAACTATTTCATATCAATGTCGAAGGCTTTGAATTCTTTCCACTTCTATCGTACTTTATCTTAGACAATCTCATCGAATCTGAGTAACTTAAGACCAAATCCAAACTCAAATATCTGTATACCAAACTCCAAGGCCTTGGATTTGTTGCATCCATAATGAAGCGATAATAATCAAAATTATTCAGACTCACGACGATATTTGATATGCCATATATTTCTAAATAGATCACGACTTATAAAAACCTAAAACACATTGTTAGCATAGATCAGACAAAACAAATCTCACAAAAGCGTGATCTTTTATTTCAATCTCTTCATAATGAATTTATATTTTTCTTCGCTTGTCTGCATGAAAAACATTATTTCAAATATGTTCGGCAACTCTCCTTTGACTCATCGAAAAACAAAAAGTTACTATGCATGTGATTTATCGAAAATATAATACAATACACCATATGTGAATGCGTTTCTTAATAAATAGAAAACAAATGTGCTAGAGAAAACGAATAGGTAGTTACGCTTCAATCGTTCCCATTCGATAAAACCAACTTATTTTTTTATTTACCAAGTACTTCTAAGGTACAGCTAATTTTTCGTCGTATTACTTTTAAGTTTGTTTTCCATTTTTAACAGTATTAAACACTAACAGATAATAGTCTAGATTTAATCTTTATTACTTTTTAATTATATAATCTTATACAAATTGACACTTCTACACAATATGCAAGGTCCTTATTTGCATGCACGTTGTATCGTATACAAAATTCACTGCGTCGATGAGGATGGTGCATATTCTGTAGAAGTACGCACAACTTTTGTCACTTATTTATCCACACAAGAAAAATTAAGAAGTTTAATGGTTTTAAGAAGATTTAAGCACCAAACACATCAACTATACATTCTGCGTTTAAACTAATCTCAATAGACGAATTCGCCTAAACGCGTTGGATTGCTTTAAGAAAAACGAGAAAATGACGAATGATTATTGAGCACAATAATACTTGTTTAGTAAAATAAATGTAAAAGTATGTTTTCTTGACTGATCTTTCTGCATTAACGCGCGTTTTATCCATTAAACATGTTAAACTAATCATCAAAACAGCGTTGTAATGATAATCAAAGGTTAAAATACCGTTTTAACGAAATTTTAACACGTTTTTTTAAGAGTCTTGTCTGACTTAGTAGTACAATATATTTTTTTGTAAAGCATCATCAAAAGATAATAAATATTCTTATTAAGATGTTGACAATATCAATAACTACGGCAGTCTTTTTATTAGCTCTGGGTATGTGCTTGTTGTCTATGACATAATCGTTTGTCACATATAATCAAACTATCTTTTTTCATATTATAGGGTGTGTGATGAGTGCTAGACCGTCAATTGACTGGATAGGATATCAATGGTTCGTGTATAATGATCAAAATATTGCACCCGGTAATTATTGACTTAATCAATTTAAGATAAAAACATTCTTGTTTGTTTTTCTTGTATCAAAGGTCCAAATAACTGGTCCTCGAATAATGTATGGGTCGATCAAGATAACCGCCTTCACTTGAAACTTAGCTATTCGTCTACAACAAATGGATGGACATGTGCTGAATTATACACCAGAAAAAAATTTAGTTTCGGCACTTATCGATGGTTTGTAGAAGGAGCAATTGATAAATTTGATCCAAATGTAATATTGGGTCTGTTTAATTATGGAGGTGCTGATTATATAAATGAAATTGATATTGAAGTAGCTAAATGGGGTGCAACAAAACCAAATGCAGCGAATATGGGTTTTACTGTCTATCCAAATGTATTCAATATTAGTAAGCCAATACAACTAGTTAAACGTGTACCTTCGAACGGAACATACACAACTCATCAGTTTACTTGGACTTCTGATAAAGTTTCTTTCCTAGTTCAAGATGGCTTTATGGAATCACCAGATCAAAATATTCTTTATTCATATCAAACACCAAACACATTCGCATCAGCGGTACCTTATACTAGTGCTCCTCTATATATGAACCTATGGCTCATGGAAGGTAGAGCACCAATTAATGGTAAAGAGATGGAAATAATTATTCATGATTTCAAGTATATTAAAGCATAATGATTTACTGGTAATAAGTGTCGTTTGAATGACTAATCGCTAAAACATATATACGCTTTTTCCAAAAACATTGATATTTCACCAATGACTATGAATCCCTGAACTTCTCTTTAATCTATGATTTAAACATTGCATACCTTTCTTTTTCTGTTTTTCGATAAATTTCGAAACATTCATTGATAATAAACTATACGCTATTTTTAAAAATATCTGAAGTTTCGTATGAAATCTCATTTTTATACAAACGAGATTATTAGTATTATCTGTTAAATAGTTGAAGTTGTCATTCTAACCGACTGAAGAATATCGAAATTACTATCTGTTCAGTGTAGCTTTCTATCATAATCGATTGAAGATATTATTAGTTCCTTTCATAACTATTAACTAAATAAGAGCTCATATTGAAAATTTTTATAAGACTTTCACTGTTGATATTGAGTCGATGTTCTGTTATCACAGACAAAAAAATTTGTTAATTTCTAGAATTATTTTTCTGAATCTATAAAGAAGATATAATTATTTCAGTTTAATTATTTCTTTTTAAGTTTATTTTCATTCTGAAAATACGATGCTGCAACAAGTTGCAATAAAAGATGAAATTGTATTTAATGAATGAATGAATAATTGTATGAGAAGAAAATTGTACGTCATGTCTTATTAATTAAACATCTACTGATTTCATGAATCCCGTAATTCTACAATCAATTATAGTGTTTTCTTCTGAAAACAAGAAGCGATACATGAAAATATTTGCATGTGATGTCAATGTTAACGCCCATTCAGAAAGAAAAGGCGGGTAGATCGTTTTTTAATAACTTTGCATCACAATCACCTATCAAGTTCGAGTTGGCATCGTTTGAAAGAGACTTACCTAGCACATCGATCCATATAAAATTGGTGAGATTCATTTTAATGAATAAGCAGTGATCTATGGTCACCGTGAAACCGTAGACTTTTGTGCTATGAAGATAGAATGAATTTTAAGTTTTGAGGGATGGACTAAAATTAGCATCCGAGAGCCTACAAATCTACGAAAGGTTGAATTTTTCATTTCAACTATTTCAAAAGTTATTAACCAGATATTGGTGATATTGGATCGAATTTTTATCGATTGTACCTTCTCAAGCGGTCAGAAATACGAAATTAACGCGTTACAATGACTACTATTTTTTTTTCCTTTGAATGCGTTTTAACTTTGGAGAAGCATCTGATTTTTTACGTTTTAACAATCGGTGTAATTTCGACTTTTACATCATTGAAACGGGCAGAAACACAAGCATTTAAACGTGTTAAAACCTACAAAATCGAACACTTTTCATACATTTTAACGCGTTGAAAACTTGTATTTTTACGAGTTTATTATTGAGTATTTGAGTGCTATAAAATACTCAATTATTCGCTGATTAACTTCTACTATCCCTCCTAGCAGCTTTAATTTTTAACGAATTTCATATGATAATATATTGCCTAATAGTAGTCAATGAATTGAGGGACGAAAATGAAAGTATTTGTAATTGTGTAACCGATAATAACGAACTTTATATCCGAATTACTTAAAATTATCTTATTCAATTAGACGACTCACGTATTACGCGACGGATAAGTTGATAAAAAAGCTATGTGTGGGTGTGTATGATTGAAAAAGAATAACCCACACACCTCGGATTCCGGCTGCTGGAAACCCGCGTGTTGATTGCCGTTCTCGGAAACCTAGAATTAAATGTGGGTTCTCGTTTCTAGGAACTAGAAACTAGGGATGATACTATGACTATAAAAATGTTTTAATTAACTAGTTAGAGCTAAGGTAGAGATTTTTTCACTTAAACAGAGGTTTTTTAAGAAAAAAACGATTTTTTACAAAGTTTGATCAAAGGTAATCGGGTAGAGGAATCCGAATCTGTGATCGGTTTTTCTAAATGTTAAGTTTGATTTTTTTTTCTCTAACAAAAGGTTTTTTTTACGAAAGAAACGATTTCTTATAAAGTTTGACCAAAAGTAATCGGGGTAAATGAATTGGAATCTGAAATTGGTTTCTCGAAAATTTGAGTTTGATGTTTACACAAAAAAGTTAATTTCTTAAAAAAATGACCTTTTTCGTAAAAAGATATCTTTTGTAAAAAAAATCGTTTGTTTTAAAAAAAAATTAGCTTTTGTGCGTAAAAATCAAAATCAAAATTTGGAGAAACCACTTACAGATTCGGATTCCTCGATCCCTATAACTTTTCATCAAGCTTTGTAAAAAAAAATCACTTTTTTCTTGAAAAGCCTTTATTTTAGTGAAAAAAATCAAACTCAAAATTTTGGAAAACTGATTTGACTGGAATTGGGATTTGAGTTTGACTGGGTTCGACTAGGTTTGGATTTTACTGGATTTGGGTGGGTGTGGGTGTGTGGGTGTGGGTGTGGGTGTGGGTGGGTGTGGGTGTGGATGGGGTGTTATTTTCTTTTAAGTCACACCCACACCCACACACCCTGTTTGCACACATGTATGCCTCAAGATGTGTTCTGATCTCCTGATATTCTTATCAATAGGCAACAGTTTGAGCGGATGCCTGAGCCGAATGTATGGAAAAAGGAAGAAAGGAAAAATGTCGAAAGGAAAAATATAGAAGAAAAATATAGAAAAGAAAATATAGAAAAGGAAAAATAGCGAATGAAAAAATATCGAAGAGAAAATAGCGAAGAGGAAAAATATCGAAAATTAAAATGTCTAAATAAGACATAATATATATATATATATATATATATATGAAGTGATAAATCTAATTAAGTAGATGAAAAATAACTATAGAGAATATAATGACTGAGAATAAATGTCATTTCACATATGATAATGAATCTTCATTTTCTTTTTGATTTAATATTTTTAGCAACAACATAAGACAATCCATTGAGAAGTTCATTAGCATTAATATCACCATTATCATAACGAATATATAATGTATCAATTCGATGTTGAATAGCAAGTGTTTTCTTTGTTTTTGGTCGAGCTGTAAGACCACCTTTCATTTGTATTACCCAGGCAAGCAAAAAAAAGAGAGGACTGGCGACATGTCTAGTCCAAAACGTCCGCAACAGCCGTCCTGTCTAGACTAGAACACTGAATGTGGCCGTCAGGACTGGTCAGTATTTTAAAAAGCGACATACTGACAGGACTGGACTAGTCTGAGATATTCTGAGGACTAGTCAAGTCTAGTCCCAAATATTTGGTGCCGGGATCAGCACTAGTCAAGTCTAGTCCCAAATATTTGGTACCGGAATCAGGACTAGTCAAGTCTAGTCCCAAATATTTGGTACCGGAATCAGGACTAGTCAAGTCTAGTCCCAAATATTTGGTGTTGGCGTCAGGACTAGTCAGTGTCTTATGAGGTAATATAATGACGGGACTGGACTAGTCTAATAATTTTGAAATACATGTCTGGACTAGTCTGAGAGATCCTGAGCACCAGTCAAGACTGCCATGTTTTACTAGAAATGACATGCTGTCTGAACCAGACTAGTCCGAAATTCAGTACGACATTTTACATTGATAGTTGGTTATATCTTTAATACTTGTCAAGTCTAGTCTAATTACAGAAATTTAATGTAATTTTTAGTTTGAACTGGTTGCTTGTTTATGAAAACTCTTTGTCACCTTCAATTCAATACATCTTAGTACGTATACATAACCCAAGAATAACAAAGTTACAAACTTGCATTATGAAAAACACGACTGTTTAATTATCTAAGATTCTACAATGGTGTAGTTTATTTATCGATTATCAGTTATAAAAATTCTTTTATTAATAAGGAAAATTCATTGAGTTTGAAATGCTAAAAATCATTAACTTCGATTTGTCTCTATCTTTAACTGTTTTTATCATATAGAACAGAAAAAATGAAAACAATTATTATTGTCATATTTTCGTTATCGTACGATTATTGTTCATTAAGTTATAAATTGTATGAATTTTCATCAACAATATTATTAATTTGATCGGTCATATTTATAAAAAAGGAATTCTTTTTTATTTCATTGTATACAAAACATCTGAGATTGATGATTGAATCACTAGTTTATCTAATTGGTTCTTTAATTTTTTTTGTCATGTATTCAAGCGACACCTAACCGAATATTCACATATATATCATTGGTTTCGCCATAGAAACAGCTCTCTCTTTAACTCTCTTCTTCTTCGTCCTCTCCTAAACATATATAAAGAAGATTTCACAATCACCTGTTTTGTTCGTGGCTTAATATGAAGGATGTTTAAAACGAAGGAAACATGTGAATCACGTGTACAATCACTATTTAATGATGATTTAATTTTCTATCATTCTTTGATAATGTCAGGTGTTTTAATAAAGACTACTGCGACTGCTTACAGAAAATTAGTTGCTGACAGTTGTATCTCATTCAGTTTTGCTCATGATAAAGTAAAATATGATCTTATTCGAGCTATTGTTCAATTACAAAAAACCACCATTCGTCTTTTCATCGGAGAACTTGTAGAAATTAAACCTGGAACATTAAAAATTAAATTTAATATTTCTAATGCTCAATATCAAGCACCTAATATTTTACGATTACAGTCATCAACCATTTTCCATCTAAGCATCCAAAATTTATCTTGAAAAAAAAATGCTTGTATATGTGAACCTGGTAATTGTGTCGCTGTTTTAGAATTTTCTAACTTAAAAGACAATAGTTAACAAATAAAAATCATTTTTATTATTAATAAAAATAAATTATTTCTTTAAAAAAAAACTTCTTTAATCTAATTTTCTTGATCTAATCTTCTGAGGTAGTGCTTTGTGTAACTAAGAATCAGAACTTTTGATTTGTACTGATACACATCATTAAATAGTCTGTTAATACATGAATTAATAATTCTTATTAAATAATATTATGAACTTCTCTGATCATTAATGTGTGAAAGACGTGTCAGGAAGAGCTAGATGTGTCACTGATAAAACATCAGCGTGTATGGTTCAACTGCTTGCCAAGCTAGGTATGTAACACAAAGTATGTATGTTCGAGTCTAACCTTCACCGCTATACTTCTATAATTTAGACTAGTCTGGACGCCAACATCTGACTGACAAAAGAACGGATTTCAGACGGTATGAATGACTAGTAGTTGTGTAATGTGTAGCATGTAGTTAGCAATATGATCGATATGCACACATATATTTTTCAATTTTTAAATATATCGGACGGGTGTCATGACGGACCGTCAGGACTAGTCCGGAGGCGACAAGAGGAGATACGAGGCCATATATTTTTGTGACAGACTGGCGTCATGTTGCCGTGTCTTGACTAGTCATTCTCTTAAAAAGTGATCACACATGACTAGTCTATTTCAACAACTATTACTAGTCTGGACTAGTCCTCTTTGTATAAATGACTAGACTATATTGAAATACTGACGCCCGTCTGTGGGCTAGTCAGGACGCGGTGTACGGACTCCCAACAATATCAGACTAGTCATGTCTAGGTCGTTTTGAGAAAAAGACTAATGAGTGACGGGGCGTCATGACTAGTAAAACTAACTAGTCTTTTTACCCGTCTTTTGCTCTCCTGGGTAATAAATGATTAAATCTATTTTCTTCACCTTGAATACATCTTATGAAAGCCCGTATATTGGGATGATATTTAGATATTCGTAAATTCAAACGATTGTGGTAACCTATAAGCGTATGAAAAACATCAATATATGAATACTATTTAATATTTCAAACCTTCGGCGTTGTTATTCGTTCTCATATGCAATCCATAAACATTCCATCTTTGAATATCTACATTTTTTATCCATTGGTTCTCAAAATAACTAAAAAGAGGTTTAAGAGAATCAAATGTTGTTGATGATGATTCAAGAACTGAATCATGAAGATCATCATATGCTTGTAGAACTAATGAAATAGGCATTAAAGCAAGTGCCATAAGTTTTCGACAAGTATTTCTAATTTCATCAGCAGCAGCATATTGAGAAGATAATCCAAGTTGTTGGATATTTCTATATATAGACTGCGTATAGTGAAAGAAACAGCCGACATGTTGACTATTAGGAAACTAGAAAAACAACACAATAGCATTTGTTCAAATTAAGATAAAGTAGTACGTACTTCAATTTTAAGTATTTCAGCTACTGTTCCTTCAAAATCTGACATAATAGTACATGGATTAAAAGTCATATTTAATTGAGCAGCTTTATTACGTAATTCATGAAATAAATATTTATATGTAGGTTTTTTTCGATCAGGCAACAGAGCAAAAACACACACAAACGCTACAAAATACACTAGTATTTAAAAGTTTATTTAAGAAAAAAAATTCTTATTCACATTGTTCAAATTTAATTGCATGTATGCAATATACTTGATCGAAAATCGAAGGTGATGATGAGAAAGTACCATCTATCAAGATGATGGAACTATTGAACAATAATTTTAGTTGTTCATCTGATGCAAATACCAGTATTCGAGTTTTTCTTTTTATAATCTGATCGATACAAAGAAAAGGTAAATTTTTCAAAGTTTTAGTATAAGACTGAGGTATATCAAACAGCTGAGAATTAGGAATTGATGGTGTTTGAAGACGACGTGCTTTATTTAGTGTACTACCTGAAAAATAGATTCTTTAAGCAAATGAAAATAAAGCGTTTACAAACCAAGTTCTCCCTGAGATGGTAAAGCAGCAATTGCTAATGTTGATAAATTGATTCGGGCTGCTTCCTCATCATAAATTTGTGGAATAGGTGTACTTTCACTTATAGCACGTGCTTTAACAACTTGTTTGAACACTCGAATTTGAATTTCTTCTGGTTCAGGTGGATGACAATGATCACCTTTAATGTTCAAAATATTATCTTCAAGATCAGTACGTGCAGTAACAGTACAACGTGAATCTTCACATCGATAGTATTTTGTTGTACTCGTTGTCTTATTCAATTTAAAGATGAAATTGTTTATATTCAGCATCTTTTTTCCTTTTTGAGAAATAATAAATGATATTTTATTTGAAGGAGCAGTCATCATATCTGAAATAACTGAAAATCAATTCGTATATCTTTAACTATTAACTATCCCTAATCGAAATTTCATCAGTAGAACCATTATTAATGAGGTACTAAAGAAAAAATAATTAATCCATGCAAATTGATTTATCTATTATATTCGTATATTTACATATGCATCATTTAAAAAGTAAACGTAAACACTTTTAATAGCATGAACCAATCAATCAAATAACAAATGTTTAATGCATATCTTATAGCGACGTCTTATGACTATTTATTCTTTTCTTTTCGATATTTTTTCTTCCGCTATTTTCTCATTCGATATTTTTCTCTTTCGATATTTTTCCTCATTTTTTTCGATATTTTTCCTTTCTATATTTTTCCTTTCTTCCTTTTTCCATCATACCCCTGAGCCGTGCGTATAGCTGTTAAGTAATTAATGCGCTGAAATGATTTTGAATAGTCGATGGTAATATACATGTAATCGATCTTTTGCTGACGCCATGCATCAACATCATGAAACGTGTTTTTTGAAGGACACGTCATCATATCTTTTATTAATAAATTCTTTTTTGAGCAAGAAAGCACACCGATTCTAATTCAACACAAGTATTAACTTTAAATGCATCGTTTTGTATTTTTTATAAAACAGTATGTTGATTAGTTTAGAGAAACAGACCACTGTGAAAAGGGAGAGACTGATAATCACCAATATTAAATCAATAGTTGCTCACAAGCACTTTTCAATGAAATAGGACAGTGGAGATGGTTGAAAAGTGTTCATTACATCAATATTCATTATGGAAATGTCTTAGCACTGAAATAATTGGATAGCTTCGATTTATTTTCATTGTCTTTGATGTTTTTTTTTTTTGATAGATTATTCTATATCTATTTTGTTAGATCATATAAAGTTTAATATTCTTTAAAGAATATAGTTGTTAAACGATTTTATCACATCAATGGAATATTACCATTATCACCTATGCTGAATAATCCTGTTCATATTCAAAGATCGATAATGAAAATTCCATTGGTTCGTTAATCTACTCTTTTACGTTTCAATAATAAATCTAAACTTTTCATTTTATTTCTTTTCTAACCAAAATCGATATGTACAAATCTATTTTTTCATTAAAATTTTTTTCAAATATTGTTCATTTTTGTTAACAAAAATAAAACTAGTTGGATCCATGATACATGTTGAGAGATATTGACGAATAAAATCTGTTGAAATATTTTTATTGTTGTTAATTGTTCTAATGTTAATGTATCTTTTTTTTTATTAAAAAATAATGAATGAAACATTGTTGGTTGTGTTGTTTCAATACGAATATTAAAATCATTTGGTGAATAGATATTTATTGGAAAATAATCACATAATAATTTTAAACATTGATTAAGATCTTTATCATTAGTAAATTTAACATGAAATGAACATATTAAATTTGTTGATGAAGATGTTGGTGGCTATGTGTAGCTGAAGAGAACACTTTTACGATGAATTTCAGTGGCGTAGCCAGGGTTTTTTAAGTAGTTAGCAATTTACCAGCAAAATTATTGTTAGTAGGTAGCAACAAGCGGCAATTGTAAAATCTAGTGGGCAATCATTTTTTTTGAAACCTTATTCACACTACAGAATATATTGTTTAACACATTGGACACGATGAGACCCACCGATGGGTCCCACTTTAAAAAAGTTGGATATGATGACTTTAGTCTATTCATATGAAATAGTTTCTTTTGTCGATCATAGAAAATGTTTCAGTGTTTTTATTCATAAGAGAAAAATCGAGAAATGCTGCGTTAAAATATGTTAAGTAATTTCGAGAAGCAAATGTGACCTTGTACAGTTTTCAGAAAAATATACGCCACGCATATTTTCTATCAGTTAGTACGAAGAAGTAAAGCGTTGCGAAGCTAACTAGTTTCAACAAAGTCGGCTAATTTTTGTTTCGAAATACTCAGCGACATAAGAATTTTCATAGGTTTTACATAAAATTAAATCTCTTACGAGTGGAAGTTGTCAGGTACACATATTATTTATTTTCATCCTGCGTAGTTTGTCTTTTTTCTCTTATCGAACCTACTTAACATATTTTAACGCAGCATTTATCGATTTTTCTCTTATGAATAAAAACACTAAAACATTTTCTATGATCGACAAAAGAAACTATTTCATATGAATAGACTAAAGTCAACATATCCAACTTTTTTAAAGTGGGACCCACCGGTGGATCCCATCGTGCCCAATGTGTTAATGAAGGAAAATTAGATTAATCATTCTGTATTAAAAGATAAATTCACCCGTTTTCTTTTTACAATATTTAAGAAATGTATTCTTCGATTCCATATACTGGATGGTCCAAAAATTACCAGGCAGTCATTCAATGGACGGTGTCCAAGGACTAAGGAATATGAATTCTTCTTGGATTTCTCCACAGTTTCATGAATCATAAAATTGAAAAAATACGGTATTCACGATATTTTATCTTCAGACAATCATTTTTTCAAGAAATATTTGAAAATGAATTTGTAGGTATGAAATCTGTTACGGATAAATCATTACTTTGATTTTCATTATGGGAGATCTATGAGGGAACTAATGATATTTACTTTCGCTTGCATGCCAACAATCGCTATGTATTTGAATCAAACAGTAGATAATTTTTACCAATATATTTCGAATTTCCACTTCATCCATTGAGTGAACATGATAATATCTCGATTAATCTGTAAATTTTTTTTTTCCAATTCATAGAAAATTTGAACAAAATATTTCTTAATAAATAGTGATATAATAAAACTGATGATGAATGCAGCATAATAACGTCAAACTTTATATTTCATCAATCAAATGAAAATTAATAAATATAATCTTTAATATTATTGTATGATTCTAAGGTATTTCATTGAATGACGTATTGAAAAGAATATTAAGAAAAATTATTTCTTGCAGAATAACTGTATTGAGATTATTATTTTGAAGTATAAAATAGAAAGATTTTAAATTAGTTTTGAACTATTGCTTTCTTACTACTGTTATTTGAAAAGAAAGCAAAACATATTTCTACAATATGCTGTATGGAGATCATGAAGCAAGAAATACATAATACTGTTGTTGTACGTTGATGATCTAAAATCATATATTATATACACCGACATTATTGAATAAGTTCTCGGTTTACATATTGATATATGTAAGAAAAATGGTAGTTGAAATTCAATACTAATAATAGACTATAGGAGGGAATTCATTTGTAAATAATCGCTTATCATCTTAAGCCTACAATGTCACGAATAGATTTTCACCCATAATTATGAATTCATCTCATTGTCTAGAGGAGAATTTTTGTAACATTTCATACCTTTGTACTAAGTCGAAAAGAAAAATTTCAGTTAAAATGAAACATTACAATACTGTTATAGAAGTTCTATGCTGCTAGAAATGATGAAATACTTGCCTAGTTTCTGTTCATATCTGATCTCAAGGCAAGATTTCAAGTTGCTTCATCAATCAAATATAATATGTAATAAGTCTCATGACTGATGTAAAATCAAGACCATAAATATTAATAACTTTTCAGTTTTTTTATTAGAAATAACATGCATTATTGAATGTCAATGTCAGCAATACACAACTTTATTCATCAATATTATAAATAACCTTTGATTTTTTCAGTTTTCACTGTATTTATCAGGCAGTAATGTTTTATGTGAGATTACCATTGAGTTGTTTTCTTTTACATCTGGTTCTTGCTAACTTGCAAATCAATCTGCATTACACAGATTGGGTAAGTGACAATAATCATGTATTGCAACACGATTGTTTGCGTGTACATGCTTCACTTGATAAATGGCATATTAGGCGTGAATTGACAACTTATTGTATGGATGATCTACCATCGAAATTTCATATGGAAAATAATCACATTTTTCCCAAATTTACTTTTGCGGAACTTGCGAAAGAGAATATTACTAGTTATGAATTATATCTTTGGTCAGCACCGATTGACGTGGCAGAGCGTTATCAACTCTATCTAAATCAAATGTCAATATCAAACAATCAATCTTTGGAAAGAGAAATTTTCTATAATTGTACATTGCCAAGATTTGGTTCGTTATG